CCCAGAGGTGGGTTCGACTGGAACAGGGCGCCAGACACCCCCCGGGGCGAGCGCGGTGCCGGGAGCGGCAGTGAGCCGGGGCTGGGGGACCCAGCTAGAAGCAAGGCCGGGGGCTCTCAGAGGCTTCTCCAGGTGCGCCCGGGTGCGCCCGTGGGAAGGGGTGGGCATCCAGGATGTCGGGGGCGGAGGAGTGCCCGCCCACAGCCCCCACGGAGCCAGGGACAGCCGTCGGGGGTGGGACCCGGTACTCCAGCCCTCCCACTGGCGGCTCTGCAGGGCACCAGGCGCTGGAGCCCCAAAGAGCCCTTTTCCCGCCGTCTCCCCGCCCTCCCTCTCCCTCCACCCCTTTGCCCCCGCGCTGCCAGCCCACTCCGGCCCCTGAAGTCCTCCATCTACGACCTTGAGCCCCGACGGAAAACACCCCTGCCCTCCCCGACACCCCTCCCCCACTCCGGTACTACCCCCTGCTGCTGCCCAGCCTTCAAGCCGGGGTCCTCCAGCTCCAGGCCCCCTCCTCCGGCCCCGCAACGGAAGTGTTGGGCACCATGTCGGTGCCAAATCTTCGCCTCTCCCTCCCTTGAACTCTGGAGTCTCCTCTCCCGCCCCAGGGACAGATCCAGGGACCACAGCCTTCCCAGAGCCATGGAGTGAATGCCCAAGAACCGAAGACCTACACCCCAAACCACCCCACGGGCGCCCGGAGCACCCCCTCCGGTCTCACCCGGGGAAGAGGGGTGTCGAGGACTCGGAAAAGCACAGTGCCCACGCCCAGAGGCTGCAGGAACTGCGTGCTAGGGGGTTGGAGGGAGGGCGGGGCACCCGAGAGCCAGGGCTCCTTCGACCACAGCGGAGACATGGAGGAGCCTCCAGATGGCCCAGGAAAACCCGGCCCTCGAGGCCCGCCCGACCCTAGCGTGAGAAACTGAGTGCCCACTTTGGTCAGGGGGGCTAGAAAGTGCCTCTGGGGTAGGGTGCAGGGTGAGGACCGAAGACAAGAGTCTTGCACTCGCCTGACCCGAGCTCCGTCCAGGCCTCCGCCTTGTGGATGCACTGCCGGTGCCCTCTCGCCGCGAGACTGGGCTGCTTTTGGCAATAACTCGTCTTAGGGGCACGCAGAGCTGAGCCTGCCTGGTGTCCCTCAAGGCTGGGTTGGGCGACTCTCGCAGAGGCCTCACGACAGATGTCAGTCAGAGGTTGCGACTCTGCCACATCTTTAAGGACTTGGACACCTCTGGGCACCGGGCTAAGACGGCGTCCCAAAGTTAGGTGGCCCGTCGCACGCAGCCCCTAGTAGTCTGGCCTCCTCATCCGCACGACCCTTCACCCACAGGCCAGGTGCAATACCGACGCGGACTCCTGGCCCGACCCGCTCCGCGCTCAGGCGGACAGCTAAGGTCTGGCTGAGTCTCCTGGCAGGGGCGTTTGGAATGTAACCGGTCACCCATTCTCTGCCCTGCATTTGCTTGTGCATGCAAGTCCACAGGTGTAGAGGCACCCGAACCGTGTGCATCCTCCCGGCCACAGCACCCTAGGCACGCACACGCATGCACATGCACGTGTCCACACGGCGCGGCATGCTCACGCGCTCTCACGGGCGCACTGGTATCCAGGCGTGGCCGTGCGCACACACACGCACATGCAGACAGCTACTAGCGTCTACTCGCGCTCCCCCGTAGGCACACACAAACAGAACTCGCACTCGCGCTCCCGCCCACACGTTCCTCGCAGGGTGCCGGGTGGAATCCGGGCTCCCTCAACTTTCCCACCCGAGAACCCCGCGCGGAGCCGAGGGCAGTTCTGGGGCGGCGTCCCACGGGGCCTGGCGAGGGGAACCCACGTCCCTTCCCCGGGAGGCTCTGCTTGAGGTCTCCTCTGGGTTCGCAGTCGTATTGGAGTTGGGGGCGGTGGCCAACGGCGGCCGCACGGTCTAGGTCCGGAGCGGGCACCAGGGACCGACATTGCCATCTAGCGGTGCGCACAGCCCTGGCGGCGGCGGCTCGCTCCCCAGATCCAGGCGCATCTGGATTCCAGGGAAAGGCGCCAGAGAGGGCTGCTGTCGGAATGTCTGCGGGTGACCCCGAAGTGTCCAAAAAGACGACAGCTGGGGCGGGGCGGAGTCAGGAGTCGGGGAGACGCTGAGTCTCGCCCTGGCAGCTCCCTCACGCGGGCCAAGAGCAGGACTTAACCACAGGCCATCCAGTGGTCCCGGCTCAGCCCGGCCACCAGGATCTGGGAGAAGACAAGATCATCGCTTGTCTTCTGAGAAAGCTAAGTCGAGAAGCCAGCAGGAATGTGAGGGGACCCTACCCAAGCCTCACCTGGACAGTCCCTCAGTTGTGTGGTTTTCGGGTAGAGGGGAGCAGAGGCAGGAGGTCAACTCTGAGCAGTAGTACCTTGGACTTAAGAATGAGGTTTCCGGGTTCTTCTCCTGCCCACTCCCCTACTTCCTAACCTGGTGACTTTGGGCCAGTTGATTAATATTATCCTGGTCTATAAGAGGATATTTACATCCGTAAGATGAGGATACTAATAATACCTGCTTTTTCAGGCTGTTGTAAGGATGAAACCAGATAATCTATATTAAAAGCTCAGAGGGGTTCCTGACGCACAGTTAACACTCAATAAACAAGAGCTATTATGTTTTCACACTCTGCACTTCTAGCCCCGTTTGTTATCATCCTGCTGGCCTGTGTCCTGCCCTGGGAGGCTCAAGTGAGCTTCCTTGGGGCTGGCTGACTGATTGCTCCTGCCTGCCCTGTCCGCTCCTGCATGTGAGTGATTGCGGGAGGGCAGCCTCCTGGTGCTGGAGGGGACAGGGCAGAGAGTGACACCTGAGTTTCTATTTCAGAGGCTCTCAGAGCCAAATGGGGTTGTCAGGGACCCCGAGAGAGGGCAGTATCTGGTCTTTGCCCTTGACTCATTGTGTGACCTTGGGGGTGACAATACCTGCTCTCAGCCTCTCCTCCTACGAACCAAGGATTTAGCAGAGGAGAACTTGAACTATCAGGCTAGGAGGCTGGGTCTGTATCTGCGATGGTGGAATAGAAGGGCTGGGGTCAGACTTGGGGCCGTTACCCTGACCCTTGGCCCCAGCCTGCAGTACATTTTTGTGTTTATGTATAGAGATCAAGTTTAGGTGCTAATCCCTATAGCTGCTGGGGAGGATCTCCCAGGACAGGATCCTCTCTATTCTGCAAATGAGAAAGAGGTGCAGGAAGGCACAGTGGCTTGTCTATGGCCACAGAGCTGGAGCCCAGGCTGCAGGCTAGTCCTCCTTCCTCCACAGCCGGCTGCCGCGCCCTCTCTTCCTCTCACACACAGACGCACAGCACTGCGTATCCGACCATGCCTGCTGGGCTGGCGTGGCTGTGATGGGCCCGCGTGCGTCTGTGGAGCGGTGTGTGTGTTGGCGGGTGTGAAGGAGGCTGGGCTGAGCGGCTGCCCTGGCACTCGGAGCTGGCGTGGGCCTCCCTCACATGGAGGGAAGAGGAAGAGGGGGAGGAGAGCTAAGAGGAGACTGGTGGGAGGGAGGGCAGGCTCAGAGAAGGGCCTGTGGTGGGGACTCCAGCTAGGGCGCCGCCGGTGTGGGGAGTGGACTGCGGAGGGAAGGGGCGGCCCTGGCAGCCCTTCTCTTCCCTCTGGGACAATCTTTTTACCTCATGGGTCCCCAGTTGGGCCTCAGGGGTCTCTGATAACCCCTAGTGACCCCTGCACTGCCTCCCTCCCAGCTGCATGTCCTGTGGCTGGAGCTGAGGGCTCCTTGAAGGGGATGCGACAGTGGCAGGTACCTCCCAAGGCCCCTTCTGCAGGGACTCTCCTCCTCTCTGGGGTGCCCAGCTCCAGGCGCCATCTCTGGTCCCCTGCAAAGCCCTCTGGCTCCTCGAGCTCTTTGGCCTCCCTCAGCCAGAGCTCTTAGTTACGGGACTGCCTTCCTCTCACCATCTAACCCGGCACCCATCCCCACCAGCAGTATAATGCAAGAAGCTGTGAAACCTTCGTCAGGCTTTTAACAGCTCTGTGCCTCAGTTTCCCCAACTGTAAGTAGTAAAGAAAAAAAATGGTATCTACCTCATAGGTTTGTTGTGAGGATGAAATGAGTTAACACTATAAAAAGTGTTACCAGGCATGGTGGCGCCTGGAGTCCCAGCTACTCAGGAGGTGGGAGGATGACTTGAGCTCAAGGATTCTAGACCAGTCTGGACAACATACCAAGACCCTGTCTCTACAAATAAATAGATAAATAAATAGACGCTTTTTTTCAAGTGTCAGAAGTGCTTGGCACTTAGTAGACCATCAGTGTTAGGTGCTCATAGATACCCCTATTATTGCCTTTGTCCCAGTGCCTTCTACAGGGGTTGGAGAGCAGGTGTTAAGACATGACTGAGTGGGTAAGGGGATGAACAGAACACCTATCTCCAGAGCCCACATGCTGGTGGGCCTCTGGGACCACTCTCCTCCTCCTCTTGCTTCCCTGAGCTCCCCCGACACTGGCCTCTGTCCAGGCCTTGTGCTGCTTCCGGGCCTTTGCTGTGGCCACTGCCCCTGGCAGGGCCACTCTCCACAGCTCCTCCTGTGGCTGGCTCCCCATCACCCAGATGACCTGATGGGTGAGGCCTTCCCTGATCACCCAGCAAGGAGTCATGGCTGTCCTGCCTTCTGACTCACTCTCCCGTCGCCCTGCCTTTTTTTCTTTTGTGGCTCACGTGTTTGCATGTCTCCCCCCAGGAGGCAGGGAGCCACGTGTGTCTTATTCACTTCTGTAGCCACAGCACCCTGAGCAAGGCTTGGCACATAGTAGGTGCTCAATTAATGTTGAATGAATGGGCAAATGCGGGATGGGAGGACAGAGTTCTCTCAAGACATTCTGCCAGGGAGTGTCCCTCTGTCACCTTGATGCCAGTGTGCCTCCAGATGACTCCCCCCATCCCCTTCTGCAGTTCATGCTTTTCTCTCCCCTTCCTCCCCAGACACGGCCTACCCACCCCTGACAACCAACATGGCCAACTTCACACCTGTCAATGGCAGCTCGGGCAATCAGTCCGTGCGCCTGGTCACGTCATCAACCCACAATCGCTACGAGACGGTGGAAATGGTCTTCATTGCCACGGTGACAGGCTCCCTGAGCCTGGTGACTGTCGTGGGCAACATCCTGGTGATGCTGTCCATCAAAGTCAACAGGCAGCTGCAGACAGTCAACAACTACTTCCTCTTCAGCCTGGCGTGTGCCGATCTCATCATAGGCGCCTTCTCCATGAACCTCTACACCGTGTACATCATCAAGGGCTACTGGCCCCTGGGCGCTGTGGTCTGCGACCTGTGGCTGGCCCTGGACTACGTGGTGAGCAATGCCTCCGTCATGAACCTTCTCATCATCAGCTTTGACCGCTACTTCTGCGTCACCAAGCCCCTCACCTACCCTGCCCGGCGTACCACCAAGATGGCAGGCCTCATGATTGCCGCTGCCTGGGTCCTGTCCTTCGTGCTCTGGGCGCCTGCCATTTTGTTCTGGCAGTTTGTGGTGGGCAAGAGGACAGTGCCCGACAACCAGTGCTTCATCCAGTTCCTGTCCAACCCAGCAGTGACCTTCGGCACAGCCATCGCTGCCTTCTACCTGCCTGTGGTCATCATGACGGTGCTGTACATCCACATCTCCCTGGCCAGCCGCAGCCGAGTCCACAAGCACCGGCCCGAAGGCCCGAAGGAGAAGAAAGCCAAGACGTTGGCCTTCCTCAAGAGCCCACTAATGAAGCAGAGCGTCAAGAAGCCCCCACCCGGGGAGGCCGCCCGGGAGGAGCTGCGCAACGGCAAGCTGGAGGAGGCCCCCCCGCCGGCGCTGCCACCACCACCACGCCCCATGACTGACAAGGACACTTCCAATGAGTCCAGCTCAGGCAGTGCCACCCAGAACACCAAGGAACGCCCAGCCACAGAGCTGTCCACCACAGAGGCCACCACACCCGCCATGCCCGCCCCTTCCCTGCAGCCGCGGGCCCTCAACCCAGCTTCCAAATGGTCCAAGATCCAGATCGTGACAAAGCAGACAGGCAATGAGTGTGTGACAGCCATTGAGATTGTGCCTGCCACGCCTGCTGGCATGCGCCCTGCGGCCAACGTGGCCCGCAAGTTCGCCAGCATCGCTCGCAATCAGGTGCGCAAGAAGCGGCAGATGGCGGCCCGGGAGCGCAAAGTGACACGAACGATCTTTGCCATTCTCCTAGCCTTCATCCTCACCTGGACGCCCTACAACGTCATGGTCCTGGTGAACACCTTCTGCCAGAGCTGCATCCCTGACACAGTGTGGTCCATTGGCTACTGGCTCTGCTACGTCAACAGCACCATCAACCCTGCCTGCTATGCTCTGTGCAACGCCACCTTTAAAAAGACCTTCCGGCACCTGCTGCTGTGCCAGTATCGGAACATTGGCACTGCCAGGTAGGCAGGCAGGAGTGCCCTAGGAGGTGCTGGTGTTGCGTGCGTCTGCTGGGGGACCACACGGCTCACCTGCTGTGGGGAAGAGTTGCAGGCACCATTCCGTGTTCATGTTTGCTGAGGAGGAAGCTCAGAAGAGGCTCTGGCTGCATTCAGAGACCAGCTCTCTGCTCAGGCTGAGGAGGCTCACCCCAGGGAATGTCTGAATTGGGGCTGCCTGGCCCACCTCTGTGGCCCTGCTTCCACGAGCTGCGGGGCACTGGCCTGGGTGGGCACCTGCCCCACTGTGGCCATCAGCAGTGCTGAGAGAATGGACATCTGGACGGGGGCCGAAGCCCAGGGCCCCTCAGGAGGAACAGAGGGACCAGTGCTTGGAAAAGGAGGCTTGGGATGGGAGTAGAAGGGTTGGAGTCCCCCATTCTGCTGTAATCGGTGCTTTCTGCCCCCCTGCACCCTGCATGTAGGCTCAGCCCCCTCTCCCCAAATCCCACTCCAGGGGCAGAACTCTCTGGCTGCAGCTACTTAGCCAGGTTCTGGGTGGGTATGGTGGAGGCCAGGTCCCCCCAACCCCAGCAGCACTGCCCTTGTCACATTACGATGGGGCAGCTGGGAGGTCAGGGGTTCTCTCTCAGGAACTGAGGTCTGGCCTCCTCCGGTCCCAGGCTGAGCTGAGAGTGGTCGACTTATTCAGAAGACAGCCCCCTGCGGCCCTGGCCTTAGAAGGCTGTCCCAGGTCGCACATCGAGTCAGGGTGAGGCTGTGGTGGGCGGTATTCCCATCCGCCCTCTTCAAACCTCTCACCCTCTGGCTTCTGCAGGGTGGAGGCCTGGGTCACACAGGCAAGAGGAAAGGGGTCGACCTGGTGGCTCACTCGGGTTTCCGTGACAGTGGGAAGGGGGAGGTGGGCAGTGAGGTAGGCACGCAACCCCCGCATCTGCTCTCCCCCAATGGGTAGAACCTTCCTGATTGGCTGTGGGTTGGATCAAAAGACCTTTGACTGGGCGAGGCTGAGATGGGTGCAGTGGTTCCAGTGAGTCAGCCAGGTTCCCTTCCCCAGCCCTGGTCCCTGGGGGAGATGAGGACCGAGAGGCTTAGGCGACTTGATGGCGGGCACCCTTTCGGGGGCCCTGGAAGAAATTTTTGTAATTGTTCTGCTTTTTCCATGAGCTCTGGAGAGCACCCACCACCAAGCCCCCAGCCCCCTGAAACCCACCAGTCCCTACAGCCTGGTCTTTCTCCCCACCTTCCCACTCCCAAACACATTTCCACAGCAAACTCCTTGGGAAGGGGCTTTTATATATTAAAAAAGAAAAGCTTTTATTGAGGGGGAAAAAAAGTCAGTTTATTTGATGTGTTTCTTAGTAATGGAATTGTGGGGAAGAACAAAAGCGGGCTCTGGGACTCACATTGCTTTGGGGGAGGCTAAAGCTTCCCAGAATCCGTTGTCCCTCCCCACTTTGGGCACTTAGGGGTGGGGCTGGGGAGTGAGAGGGACAAGGCCGGGAATGATTGATTAAAGCTAACGAGCAGACAGAAGGCACTGGTGGGTCATATCTCGGGCCTGGAAGAGGGAGGGCGTGGGCCAGGCCCCATGTAACACCAGGGGCTCCTTGGCATCCAGGCTTGGCCTCTAGTCCTTTCCCTTCCCTTTCTTGGCTGTAAAACAAGAAAGAAAGATTAATACCATATCAACAGGCCGACCCATTGCAGACCGCGGGCTCCACAAACACCCAGGCATCAGGGAAGGAGGAGAAGATTCTGCCCCCTAGTGGTTTCCAATCAGCTGACCCGGAAGCAAGGGATGGGGCCGCCATTGTGATGTGGACATCGGACACCCCCAGCTTCCTATTTCCACTTGGGATCAGAAAACCTTCAAGTTTCCAGTTCCGGTCCTGGTCACAGCAGCCCTGGACAGCGTCAGCCTCCTCACCTGAGAAGCGGGCAGATTCACCCGTGCCCTGTTGGCCTCGCTGAGCTGAGTCAGGAGTGAGCTGAGAGGCCCAGGGTGGGCTGTGACCTCCTCCCAACACTAGAAAGGGCAGAGCTGACCAGATGCTGCCCCTGGCTGGAGAACTGACAAAGGCAAGCCGTTCCAGGACAACTTTCCCTGGGTCCTAAGCCAGATGCTCCAGTGGAGTAGCTTGAGTTGGTCCCTATTTGGGCCAGGGAAGATTTATGTCCCCAGCATCACCTGCTGCCCCTCTTGTAGCGCCCATCTCTAGACTTTTCCAGGCAGGGAAGCCAAGTGAGGCGATGTCAGGAAGCTATTGGCCAGGACTCAAAACTTAAGGTTTAACCTGGAATGGTCCCCTCACAGGCGGCGGGGGCGGGAGAGGGGGGGAGCAGACCCCTTGGGACAGCCCCACCCCCTTCTCCTCTCGCTGACCTTTGGCCTTGGCTTTGGTCTTGGGGGTGCAGGGCTTGGTGACGCGGATGGTCTCCTGGCACTGGGCATTGTAGCGCGCCTTCTTCAGGGTGCCTTGGCGGACTTTGGTGCCTGTGCCCCCATCACACGCACCCCAGTTCTCAAACTTGTACTTGCAGTCGGCTGGTGGGAAAGCGGCCCGGGTCAGCGCTGCACGCCCCGCGGCCGTCTCTCCAAGGGTCTGCCCAGGCTTCGGCGAGGCTGTGCCCCCATCTCCTGCCCTCCGCCTGCGCCCCGCCTCACCTCCAAACTCCTTCTTCCAGTTGCAGGGCACCCTGCACCGGATGCGCTGGGTCTGGGCCCCGCAGGTGCCCTCGCGGAAACCCACGCCGCAATCCTTGCTGCTGGGGGTGCAGGGCCCCCAGGCCCACTCCGCACACTCGCTCCCCGGGCCGCCCTTCTTCACCTTGTCTACAACGCGCGGGGAACAGAGTTCAGGACGGGGGCACGGGGAGACTCCCTCAGGGGCCGCCTTCCTGGGGTTCCAGGCTGGGAACCCAGGAGGCCCAGCCCGGAGGTGGCGGGGCCTCGCCTGCCCGTCCCCAGCCCTCCTTCGATCATCCCCCATCACCTTTCTTTTTGGCCACTGCGGAGGTGAGCGCCAGCAGGGCGAGGAGAGTGAGAAGGAGGAAGCCTCGGTGCTGCATCCTGGGGGGAGAGCGCGAGTCTGAGTCCCTGGCCCGTCCCCTTCCCCACCGGGGGCCGCGTGCAGGGCCCTCCCACCCCCGCGTGCCCCACTTTCTAGGCCCCAAGTCGGGCTGACCCGTGCCCTGTTGGCCTCGCTGAGCTGAGTCAGGAGTGAGCTGAGAGGCCCAGGGTGGGCTGTGACCTCCTCCCAACACTAGAAAGGGCAGAG